ACATTAACAATTCCTCCGTGCATCATTTGCGCCATTATTGCTGCCAGCAAAACACCACGTGCAACGCAAAGGTGAAAATGGAAAGGCCAGCCAACGTAGTACTGGGAATAGCCCCAGGATTCCTAAGCACGAAGTGGGTACGAAAACTCATTTAATCTTATTATTGGGCTCGGGTTGGATTTGCGGGTTTCACAAGTTTCAATTCAGATCAGTTGAGAGTCTTATTTTTAATTTTTTCACACCATGATCCCACTTGTTTACACATTACTAAAACTTGTTTACATTGGACCTTTCACTTATTTACACTCTAGGACAAACTGGTTTGAAACGAAACTTGTGAGGCCTCAGATTTGATGATCAGGGGTGCCAAACAACAAAGATTGAGCTAGCGGGTCATATTTTTATGATTCGCGGGAAGATCAGAAATTGTAATGCAAGAAACACTATGAAAAAAGAACTGATAAATTGGCAAATCCAGGTAAATACATTAATCGGTGGCATTCGAAAACAAATTACTAATGGTGTGGAAAGGCAATAAATTTGTAACAATTATGCAGCTAAGCAGTAGCATTAACTTACAGAATCACAACTAAAATCTTAGGGGGGGAAAGGAGATAGCTGATCCCACCGCACAGTTTGAGAGAGGATAAGAAACATTAAAGCAACCTGATTAACTGATCTTGATGCTACACTGATACAGCAGCAATTGGACATTTTAGCAAACATTAAGGCTAGACAAACAAATGCTACTTTCTGGACTGGCTAGTGATTGAGTATTTCTGTCTCATCCTCCTCCTTTTCCATATCAATATCGTGGTCCAGTTGATATCCCGTGAGCTAGCAGCAATTGGCAGCTCGAGGGCAGTGGGTTCCAAACCAAACCAAAGATACATGAGAAGATTAGTAGTCTACCTTATTAAGGATCTTCAGATCAGTATTTCCCAAGTCCATTTGTTCTTCCTGAAGTGGCACTATAAAACTTGCAGAGAAGGGACAATGAAACACCTCAATAATTTCAAGACACCTCAATAATTTCAAGAGTCGAACTACCCAAACAAGAAGGGATCTCCTTTAAAAAGGTACAGCTTTTCAATACTAGTTTCTGTAGACTTGGAAAACAGTCCACGCCCTCGTAGGCAGTCCACTTGACAATATCCAAGGCAGCTATTTTCAGAAATCTAACTTTAGGGAACCCCTCTTTTTCCATGTTCCATATTTCCCCATCAAAGGCGTCACGGAGTAATTTGAGAACCTCCAGATTGGGAAGATTTTCGATCGCTGAAATTTTGCTCCAAGGGAAGAGAAGACCGCATAGAGTCAACTTTCTAATTGCCAAAGGGAATTGAAACTCCAACTGGCATGGATTTGGAAGACTTGTATAATGATTGAACGTCAGATTCAGTGATTCTAGTCCACTTAGAAAGTCAAGTACTAGAATCTTGTCCGCTGAAACCCAATTATGTTCATTAGCCAAATCGAGAATGCATTTCAGCTTGTGGATATTAGGAATTTTACTGAATACCTTGCGGACGATATCCAAAGAAGAAAAAGATACTCCGGAGAAGGTATTCAAATCACACAAGTCTGCAGCAGTGTCAAGATTGTCTGTGGGTAACAAAAATGAACAATCAAAGTCCTTTATTTGTAAGTGCCTTAGGTTCTTCAGATTCCATATAGTATCAGGTAGTAAAACAGTCCGAACAACTGTTTTCAGGATGAAAGTTTCCAAATTCGAGAGATTGGCTATGGAAGATGGAATTGAATCCATATTTCCTAGAATTGCCAAGTACCTCAATTGAACCAATAATTCTAGTTCTCTAGGAAAAGTAGTACCTAGATTTATGTTGTTCAATTCTAACACTCTAACAGGTTTGAAGATACCAAACATGGATGAACTCTCTAAAGCAAGACGTCGGGAATGTATTAGAGAACGGATTGTGGGAGCAAATAACCTGGACATGCAAAAGTGCACTGGTTTAGAGTTGATGCATAGGCGGCGTAGGTTGCGTGGCACTCTGAAAGTATATAATTCATCATACCCACGCACCAGCTGCAGAAAATTTTCTTCTTTGCCTTTTGTCACACAAAACTCATGCAGCAAATCATGAATGCGACAAGCTTTGACACCACCAATGGACCTTTGCTTGGAAACAATGATCAAGCTTCTGTGGATAAGATCCATTAAGAAATCATTTGCCACATCCTCTGCACTCTTGAACTGAGTTTTCTGGGTAAATCCTTCAGCCCCCCATAACCAAATCAACTTCTCAGCAGTGTGTTCATGGTCTTCTGGAAATGCTCCGAAGTATAGAAAGCATTGCTTCAAATTATCTGGTAAGTTCTTGTAACTCAACTCTATTGCAGCAGAGCGTTGTTCTGTACTACAGACAATTCTTGAACTTAAACTGTCCACAAGTTCTTTCCAACCATGTTGGTCCTCATTTGCCAGAATTCCAGCTAGAATGACAATTGTAAGTGGCAGTCCTCGACACATTTCCACGATTTTCATTTGCAGTTCGCATAATTCTGGCGGAGGCAAATCATTTCCAGGAAATAACTTCATGTTTAGCAAGTCCCGGCTCTCATCAGGAGTCAGCGGACGGAGGAAATGAGGCCCTTCATCAAGTTCATCTCTCGAAGCAGCAACATCAGACTTTCGACTTGTCACGATCACTCTACTGCCATTTTGATTGTCAGGGAATGATGCTTCCAATCCCTTCCATGCTTCAGCGTCCCATATATCATCCAAAACAATGAGATATCTAGTCCTTAGCAGACCTCTTCTGACTTCTGCAGCCAAATCTTCTTCACACATCTCAGAAAATTTCTCAAGAAGCTTGGAGTGAATACAAGTCAAAATTTCAAGTAACAGATTTTTTCTGTGATACACTTGAGAGACAGTACACCAAGCACGTGTATAAAAATGCGATGTAACTAAAGGATTATTGTAAACTTTTTTAGCTAAAGTTGTCTTGCCAGGTCCTGGCATACCTACAATGGGGACAATTTGCAGTTGGGAGGATCCTCTTGTGAGCCGATTGATTATTGAGGTTGCCTCATCCTCGAATCCCACGATCATGTCATTGATTATTGGCATGCTTCCCTGTGATGGCATGTTATTTGGTCTCTTGGTAGCTTCCTTAACTTTGAGATCAAGTGTTTTTCTATCAAAAATGTTCAAGGCCGCAGCTTTGATAATCTTAATTTCTTCTACAACGGAATCAAATGAGATTGAAGAAGAATATAGAATGTCTCCAACCAACAAGGAGTCGATAAGAAATTCTACCATGTATGCCACCTCAACAACACGATCCCAAAGTGCTTGAAGCTCCTGATCTTCATTGCGCAATTCCACAATTCTTCCCAAGAAAGAGCGTAAGTAAACAAGTTCTTCATGGATTGCATGAATTGGATAGTTTGAAAGAGCAACTGAATGAGCATCCGGATTTGTCAAATCTCCGATATATTTTAGAAGAAAATCGATAAATCCCAACTCATTAGGCCGAGGAAACTTGGATGATGGTGATGTTTCTGGATATTTCTCTGCAACTATTGCCTTGATAAGCTTTATCCTTTTCAGGAAATCATGAAAAGACTCCAGATCCATTTCCTTGACTGATCCATCTTTAATTTCGTTGAGAGAAAGGGAAAAAATAACAAGTCCTGCATCACAGAGGAGGAGTCCAGTAAGATCTCTCATTTTCTCATCAAACACGTCGGGGTTCCCCTTGAGAATGATTGTCAAGGACCTCAACCCGTCATAAACCATTTTCAATCGATCGTTCAAAGACATCATAACACAAGCTCCAGTCTTTAGTATCTCCCACAGATAGATTAGGAGAGTATCGATGAAGACTCTGAATATGTGCGTGCAGAGGCCCCATCCTGGGCCCGGACACGTGGCAGCCCAGGCGTGGCCGAGCTGGGCCTCGGCCTCAGGCCCCAAGCGGCCGTCCTGGACCGATCTGCTAGGGCTCCGGAGGGCAGCACAGGTCCCTCCCGAAGAGGTCGGGGATGATCCCCCTGAGTGCGGAAGATTGATTATTCTGGGCAAGTCCCGAAACGTACGGAGGTCGGACTTCCTCCCAGGTATAAATGATAGCACGCATTGACTGTACAAGGTACGCTCACTATTGGCAAATTACACCCGACCGTTTGTGCTTCCCGTGAACCATACTCACCGGAAAACTAACTTGACCGTCGGAGTGCCCTCGGGGACCACCCTCGGGCCCCCCTTTGCTAGCTCGTTCTTATCTGTTTTACAGGCTTAGGACCAGCTCTGCCGTCAGCACCCCGAGCTCATCAGTTCAGCTCGGTCCGGGGAAGCTCCGTGCTTCTTCAGTTGGCGCCGTCTGTGGGAACGTAAGGTAAGTAAGGTTGTGTTGATGGCCAGGACGCGATCCAAGCGCACGGTAGAGAGCACCGGCCCTGGGGGCGGTGAGGGGTCCCAGCGAAAGGAGGCTGAGGCGTCTCGGGGCGCCGGGGGCTCAGCCCTTTCAGGGGAGCGGAGGCAGCAGATCTTCCAGTTTGTGACGGAGAATCTCCCCATGCTAGAAGATATAATCCGACAGGCGAAGGAGGGAGATGGGGCTGGGGGTGCGCAGACCTCCAAGGCTATGGGGAAGGAGAATGAGTCACCCCCTGATCCTTCGGAGGATGAGTCACGAGACCAACCCCCCAGGAGGAAATGACCCCGGACTCCACCTCGCCCGCGAGCCTGGGTGGTCGGAGACAGCGAGAGGTATTCCCGCGACCGGTCCGCGAGGAGTCGTCCCAGAGACCCCTCCCCACGGAAGCCCACACGGAATGGGTTCGAGCGTTCCCCTGCTCGGTCTGTCAGGAGCCGACCCCGCGACCCCCTTCATTTGGAACCTGTCCGGGATGAGCTCGAGCAGATCTTGAGGCCCCGACCGTACGAGGACAACTACGCAACCTCGCCCTTTACCCGGGAGATAGAGCACTACCCGCTACCCCGGAGGTTTAAGATTTCGAGCATCGAGATGTACGATGCCTCTATAGACCCGGAAGACCACCTTTCGGTCTTCCTAACGCATATGCGCCTCCAAACCGCCGCGGACGAAGTCCGCTGCAAAACTTTCCCCATGTTCCTGAAGGGGAAAGCACGGCTCTGGTTCCAGGGACTAGCACCGGGGTCTATACGGAGCTTTCCCGAGCTGGCTCGGCAGTTTGCATCCCAGTTCGTCTCCTCGAAGGTTTACGCGAGGAACGCAACCCACCTGATGTCCATCAGACAGAGGCCAGACGAGTCGCTGAGGAATTTCATGACCCGCTTCAATGCGGAGAGCTTGCAGGTCAGGGACAAAGACGAAAAAGTGGTAATGGCCGCCTTCACAAACGGGTTCAGGGTAGAGGAGCTTTTCTACGATCTGGCCAAGAACTCTCCCGTAAACCTGGAGGAGCTCCTGCGCAGGGCGCACGAGGCCGCTAAGGCGGAGGAGGCAGGTCGCCTGAAGAAAGAGTCAGATCGGGAGCTCGGAAATCGGAAGGGTCGGACAAACCCTCCAGAGAGCAAGGACGTCCCGGCCAAGAAAAACGTCTTCGATCGGCTCTCGAAGGAGAAGGCCCCTGCTCCGCCACCACTCCCAGAGAAGACCTACACCCCTCTAACACGGCGCAGAGCCCAGATCTTGGCTGTTATGGAGGCGGAAGGGCTGGGAGATCGGCCGCCCAAGATGGGGACGCCCTGGAACAAAAGGAACCAGGACCGGTACTGCGCCTTTCACCGCGACGTCGGACACGACACGGAGGGATGCTGGGCCCTGCGTAAGGAGATCGAGAACCTGATCCAACGCGGCTTTCTAGGGCGGTTCGTACGCCGACCAGGTCGGGAGCCCGGGCGCAACCACTACGGAGATAGGTCCGAGGGACGGCGTCGCGACCGCCCAGAGCTGCGTGACGCTCCTCGGAACCACTTCCCCGACCTGGACGGCCAGAACCTAGCGGGGGTGATAAACACCATCGCTGGGGGCCCCACGGGCGGAGACAGTCACACAGCTCGGAAGAACAAGCGACTCCCCCCGCGGGGGACGACTCCTTGAAACGTTTGCGCATGGATGAGGAGATCACCTTCGGGCCGAGGGATGCGGTCCCCCTAGCATCCGGGAACCACGAGGCTATAGTGATAGACGTGGTCACCAACAACTACCGGGTGAAGAAGGTGTATGTCGACCAAGGTAGCGCGGTTGACATCATGTTCTATCGGGTGTTCAAGGAGCTCGGGTTGAAGGACGACCAGTTGACCCCGGTTCGAACACCTCTGGTGGGCTTCACCGGGCCACCCATTAACCCGGAGGGAATGATCACCCTGATGGTCACGGTAGGGCAGGCCCCCAAATGCCGAACCATCCCTGTCAATTTCGTGGTGATCAAGCAGCAATCCTCGTACAACGTGTTCCTGGGTCGGCCAGTTCTGAACGCCCTCCGAGCTATCCCGTTTACCCTCCATCTCAGTGTGAAGTTCCCCACCCCAGGAGGGATAGCCGAGGTGCACGGTGATCCAGAGATGGCCAGAGCTTGCTACTTGGCCACGCTCCGCGGGCCGGAGAAGGTGGTCGCTCAGATGACCTGTTTGGAGCCCTACATCCCGGGGGACGAGGCCCAGCAGTTGAGCACACAGGACGAAATTGAGGAATTCCCCTTGAGGGAGGAGCGGCCCGACCAGGTCATCCGCATCGGGGCATTGCTGCCAGCCGAGGAGAAGGAAGGCTTGAAGGCCCTGTTGAGAAAGTACTCCCAGGTCTTCGCATGGACGGTGGAGGACATGCCCGGGATTCCAACGGACCTGGCAGTCCACCACCTCGACGTGGATCCTCACTTCAAGCCGGTGAAGCAGAAGAAAAGGAGCTTCGCCCCCGAGAGGAATGAGGTGATCAAGGCGGAGGTCGGCAAGTTGCTGGAGTCCAGAATCATCCTGGAGGTCTACTACTCGACCTGGTTGGCCAATCCCGTCCTAGTCAAGAAGGAGGACCAGACCTGGAGGATGTGCGTAGACTTCACGGACCTTAACAAAGCCTGCCCAAAGGATTGTTTTCCCCTGCCAAGGATCGACAGGTTAGTAGACTCTACCGTGGGTTTTGACGTTTTATGCTTTCTGGATGCCTTTAATGGATACCACCAGATAGAGATGGCTGAGGAGGATCGGGATAAGACCTCCTTCATCACCGAGGAGGGAACCTACTGCTACAGGACCATGCCGTTCGGGTTGAAGAACGCGGGAGCTACTTACCAGCGCCTGGTCAACAAATTATTCCAAAATCAGATCGGCAGAAACATGCAGGTCTATGTGGACGACATGATCGTCAAAAGCCGAACTGACCAGCAGCTCATACCCGACCTAAGAGAGATCCTGGATATCCTACAGGAGAGCCGGATGCGCCTAAATCCGAAGCAGTGCACCTTTGGGGTCAGATCGGGAAGGTTTCTCGGTTTCCTGGTGTCCCGAGAGGGGATCCGGGCCAACCCGGATAAACTCTAGGCCATCATGGACATGGTCCCTCCGAGGAACGTGAGGAAAGTGCAATGGCTCACAGGGAGGATGGCCGCCCTGAATAGGTTCCTCTCGCGCTCCGCGGTCCGGGGGCTGCCCTTCTTCCGAGTCTTGAAAGCGCCTAAGGATTTCTACTGGACAGAGGAGTGCCAGAAAGCCTTCACCGACCTGAAGGCCTATCTGGCTGAGCTGCCTACTTTGACCGCCCCGGAGCTAGGGGAGACTCTGTTCCTTTACCTGTCCGCCTGCAATGAGGCCGTCAGCGCGGTCTTGGTACGGGAGGACGGGGGAGTTCAGAGACCGGTGTACTACGTCAGCCGCGCTCTACAAGGGCCAGAGACGAGGAAAACGCCGGCGGAGAAGCTGGTCCTTACCTTGGTACACGCTGCCCGCAAACTTCGCCCCTACTTCCAGACTTACAGCATTATAGTCCTGACTGACCAGCCCCTGCGTCAGATACTCACCAAGCCCGAGATCTCGGGCAGGATGACTAAATGGGCCGTCGAGCTAGCCGAGCACGACATCGGTTATCAGACTCGCAAAGCCATCAAGTCGCAAAGCCATCAAGGCCCAGGCCTTTGCGGACTTCCTTGCTGAGGGGGCTAGCTTGAGCCTAACCGAGCTAAGCCCCCTGCACAAGGAGGTACTGCCGAAGGAGCCATGGGTGTTGTTCGTAGACGGGGCCTTCAGCAAGGAAGGAAGCGGGGCAGGTCTGCTACTCATCTCACCCACCGGGGAAGAGCTGACCTACGCCCTCCGATTGGACTTCCCCGCGTCCAACAATGAAGCCGAGTACGAGGCCCTGCTCACAGGATTGCGGATAGCCCACCAAATGGGGATAACCGCGATCCAGGTCAAGAGCGACTCTCAGCTCATCGTCCTCCAAGTCCTCAGGGAGTACGAAACCAAGGAGGATGTCATGAAAAAATATTTGGCCAAAGTGCGAGATGCAGTATCCCTTTTCGATACCTTCGAAATCGAGCGGGTACCAAAATCGCAAAACAAGCGCGCAGACGCCCTGTCAAAGCTGGCATCTTCCTCATTTACACACCTGAATAAGGAGGTTCTGGTAGAGGTGGTAAAACAGAAAAGTATCGACCAGGTCCAGGTCCTGGCTATAGACAGCTCGGCCACCTGGATGACGCCCCTCATAGACTTCCTCAGCTCAGGTGTCCTCCCAGAGAACAAAACCGAGGCCCGCCGGATCCAGCTCAGAGCTGCCAAGTACGCCTACGCTGGGGGAACCCTCTACAGGAGGTCTTACTTATCTCCCTGGCTAAAGTGCGTGACGCCCGAGGAAGGTAACTATGTCCTCCGCGAGATACATGAAGGGCTATGTGCGGCACATGTGGGGTCCCGAGTGTTGGCCAAAAAGTGCCTTCTCTTGGGCTACTATTGGCCATCCGTCTTCCGAGACGCCGCAGAACTGGTACAGAAATGCCGAGCTTGCCAGGTGCACGCCTCGCTGCGCTACCAGCCGGCTCGGGAAATGATCCCCATTCACAGCCCCTGGCCTTTCGCCCAATGGGGGATAGACCTCCTAGGTCCTTTCCCCCGAGCTCCTGGAAAGTACGAGCACCTCGTGGTGACAATCGACTACTTCACGAAGTGGATGGAGGCAGAGCCCTTGGTCTCTATTTCGGGGAAGGCGATCGTCGGCCCCTTGGTCTTTTGGAGGAACATCTTCTGCCGCTTCGGCATCCCGCGCGTCTTGATATCCGACAACGGCCGCCAGTTCGCCGAGAACCCCTTCCGGAGCTGGTGCGCTGAGCTCGGGATCAATCAGCCCTTCACGTCGGTCGGTCACCCTCAGGCCAATGGTCAGGTGGGGAACGCTAACCGAACCGTTCTGCAAGGGTTGAAGACTAGGTTGGACTCCGCCCAATCGAGCTGGCTAGATGAGCTCCCCAGTGTCCTCTGGGCTTACCGTACCACGCCCAGGACGGCCACCCATGAGACCCCGTTCTCCTTAACTTACGGAGTAGAGGCGGTGGTGCCCGCGGAGATTGGTCTCCCCTCGCCCCGGACACAGAACTTCGTTGCAAGGACCAATGAAGAAGAACTGCGGTACAGCTTGGACATACTGGAGGCTAGGCGTGAAGAAGCGGCGGTACGGATGGCTAAGTACAAAAGCCAGCTCGCCCGCTATCATAACGCCCGAGTAAGAAGCGTACAGTTCCAGCCAGGAGACCTGGTCTTACGAAAGAACTCGGTCAGCAGAGCTTACGGTTCCAACAAGCTTGACCCAAACTGGGAGGGTCCATACAAGATCCTTGAGGTGAACCGAGCTGGCTACTGCAGACTCGCCAAGATTGATGGATCTGAAGTACCTCGTACTTGGCACTTCTCCAATCTGCGACTGTTTGTAGCGTAGGTTAGACCAGGGTGCTCAGTTGTCTGTTCTTTGAAATCCGAATTTTTGTTTTATCATTCAATAAAAGCCCGACCTCACAGTTTTAATTTCACTTGTACTTGTTTCCTTTCAAGATTTAAAGTTTGCACCTTGCACTAGCACACTTAGAGTTCTCTCACTAAATGTCCTAGTGGGGTGCTAAGGGTAGTGATGAATCGAGGTGAAGTGTTCGGTCCCAGAGGTCGGTACGAATTAAAAGCTTCCAGGCGATGCTCGACACCGGGAGGTCGGCACGACTAGGAAGAACATGGAAACTGGGAAGGGTTCTAGAAACTCCGCGCTCGATCCAGAAGGTCGGCGAAAAAGGAGTTCGAAACCCGATGTTCGATCCCCAAGAGGTTGGCACGGGTTATCGCTTCGGAGTGGAAGGAATCCAGGTGAAGTGTTCGGCCCAAGAGATCGGCACGACTTGGAAGTCGGAATCCAGGTGAAGTGTTCGGCCCAGGAGGTCGGCACGATTGAGGAAAAATTGGAGGCTTGGAAGGGTTCTGGAAACCCCGCGCTCGACCCAGGAGGTCGGCGGAAGAGGAGTTCGAAGCCCGAGGTTCGACCCCAAGAGGTCGGCACGGGCTACCGCTTCGAAGTAGAAGCCCGACCCCGGGAGGTTGACCAGGCCCCCAGCCTTCGAATCCGGGGGCCCCGCATTTGACCCCGGAGGTCGGTGAGAACGCCCTTAATGTTTAGGTGCTCAACCCCAAGAGGCTGGCACATCCCCTCAGTAAGTTTATTTGGTGCTCGACCCAAGAGGCCGGCACATGATTTTAATAGTTAGATTGCCAATTGGGCAACTCCATTGCTGGATTAAAAAGGTGACGCGTTTGGTGCTCGGCCTAGGAGGTCGGCACATGGCGTTGCGTGCAGGCAAGAAAGGCAGAATAACTCTTCGAAATTTCGCATATGCATTCAAAACCTATCTATTACAAAACTTCCGAGCTGCCTATCGATTACAAAGCTTCCGAGCTGCCTATCTGCTACAAAATGTGCCGAGCTATGAAGAGAATACAGCTCGGGCCCCCTTCTTCTTGCTGGTAGTCCGCCTGGAGCAGGAGTTGAGGGTACACCTTAAACTTGCTGAGAGGCGTACGGTGAAGGCTATTCAAGCAGGGGAGCCTTTCCGTCTCAGATGGACCTTCAAGAGC